ATGAAATTTCTACACCCTGAAACTAAGCATTTAAGGCCATATATTTATACGAACTTTTTTATTTATTTTTTTCTGTAAAATATGCTGCCGAAGTTTCCTGAATACAGTTCGGACCACCCTGTATATTGTATATTTATAACAAGCATACAGCTTAAAACTATTAACAAAAAATAACACTTTCAAAAAAAGGAACAACATTTCAAAAATTCAATAGACTGTAATCAAAACTTATTTCAGTTTACATATAAATTTTTAATAAACTATTTAAGAACTATTTTAATTGCATTTTAATGAATTATTCTGTTGGAAAACCTAAATTAACAAAAACAAAGTTTCCAGTGTGCTAGATGTAAAAGATTTTTTATGCACTACTGATAAAAGTTTGGGATAATCTTGGATCTTAGTTAGAAGTATTTATAGACGGACTAAAGGAATATATAGCGATATAAAAACAGGATATGTGACAACTCTAATCTTTAGATAACATTTTTTGCACAAAGTTATATTCCTAAGAATATCGCAAAATTATATTCCTTCAGTCTGTCATTAGGATAGAAGAGCTTAGATTAGATAAGAGACCTCCAAAATAATATATCAGTATGTATTTCAACTGGAGCTATCTATTGAAAAGAATTCTGGGCATTTCTCCACTAGAAGAAAATCTACAAAATAAAAAAAATATTTTCTATAACTACTGCGTTGGTTGAAACGAGATCAATTTGTCAGTGGTAAACCGACAAAAAATGCTTAGCTATTTTAGGAGGTATATTTTTCCCGTCGTCAGAAGCAAAAACACAAAGAACTAAGAAAAAATAAACATTTAAAATTTCTTAATACAACTAAATACAATTATTCAAAAAACGTTTTAGTTTATTTAGCAGTTATGTCTATTATAGAACGTTGATCTGTTAAAATGACATCACATCCAGAAATGTTTTCAAGAAATGAACCCGCTGCAAAGGTATAGACATTATATACCTTTATTATGATGATACACCTCTTTCATGTTGATATTTATTAGCAAAGGGTTCTGGCTCCAGACGAGCTTCTGGTAGCTTATGGCTATCAGCATTTGAAGACCTGGATGGCTTCTTGTAGGATATGTATAAACTAATTTGAGGTCTATCAAACTGTCTATTACGTTGTTATATGCACGTTATTTATATTGGCTATTATTCAGAAAGGATTCTGGCTATAAACGAGCTTCTGGTAGCATATGGTCATGAGCATCTGAAGACATGGAGGACTTAAGGTACGCGCACACTGACCAAAGCCGCACGCGCCGCATCGACCAAAAAAAAATTGTTTGTGTCACTTTCAATGAAGGTGCACACACTAGCCAGAGCCGCACGAATCGCATCGACGAAAATGTGGCCAGCATTGTTGGGCCAGAATGATTTTCGGTAAATGCTACTAGTGCTGCTGACGTCACACACAATTCCTTCCACTCTACGTAGGTAGTCGAAGAGGAGATTAGAAATTATGCTAAGAAAGTAAAGCAAATTTTTCATGGCTCATACTGAAAAATGTTTACTTCATCCTCAAGTGAATATGGAAATATTGTGAATTTTTGTAAATATTGTGAACCTATAACTTTCGATTCTTTCTCGTGATTTCTTCTTCTTTTATTAGCAAGGAGCTTATAATTATTTCTTGTTTGTTGTCATTCATTGTCGAGAAATATTAAAAAATACGCTTGTCACCGCAGGCAGGACTTTGGAAGCGACTGATGAGAAATCCGATTGGCAAATACGTAGTGTAGTAGGGGCAAAAATAAACAAAATAGCGAATAATGCGGCGCGTTCGGTACGGCTTAGTGTGCGCGACAAGAAAAAAAAGTGCCATTCGTGCGGCGTTGGTCAGTGTGCGCGTACCTTTACAGTTTGTGGCCAAGAAATTTTTAGAATGGTAGAAAAATTTACCAAGACGCAATGCTAAAATTTACGCCAGGCTTTAAGCCAACATAGTAAAACTGTACTGTGTTTACTAAGAGGGCATTGCGACATAATAGGCATTTAAAGCCAGTGTGATTAACAGAAGTCAAGTGCAGATTGTGTGTGCCTACAATCAGTACAATAATCATAATGTACTAAATAATGTCTATACCTTGGTGTTGGGTTCGTTTTTTTGAAGAAAGTCTCGGTATTTGACAACTAATGATATAAAGGTTTTTTTTTGTAAAATACTACTAAGTAGTATCGAAACTGGAACTAATTTGTTATTAGCGGCTTTTTACTCGTAAAACAAATTTTCTGCCAAAAAAAAAACTACTTTGCTTTTTCTACGTAACCGTAGATGGAGGCCATAGCAAAGTAGGGATTTTTTAAATTAATTTTCCTGTCATTAGAGCAAAAAAAAAATAAATAAAAAAACTAGCTTCCTTCATTTACGTATCCGTAGATAGAGCTAAAAGGAAAGCAGTGTTCTATATAAAATAAAATAGTATACAGAGAAGTAAAAAGGTCCTAACCCTTACAAGACCGAAGGAAACAACCATCAGACGACCTGTTTGGGAAATTTATTCCCATCCATAGGTCGACTTTGTTGGATCACTTACTCTGATAAACATTGAAATCGCACTTGAGCAGCAAATATACTACTAAAAAGACAAGATGTAGCGGATCTCGTCATTTGACGGCAATCGTACACATCGTACGAATCATATCATCAAATAAAACCAGCGGCCTACTAGAACAAACAAGTTTCATCTGCGTAACCATAGATGGAGCTAAAAGCAAAGTAGGTTCCTATATTATGAAATAAAATAGTATACAGAGAAGTAAAAAGGTCTTAACTCTTACAAGTGTCCTAATACGTAAGCAACGAAAACTCTCTAATATCTGCATTAAGTTCATCAGACCGCAGGAAACAACCGAATAAATTTACAAATCCGGTCGTCGGATGGTTGTTTACTTTGGACTTTGAACTTAATGTAGATATTAGCACATACGTAGGTACTGTCCACTGAAAAAACATATATGAGCACAGGCATAGCAAAGCCGCTAGAACTAATCCAAGGACCTAATTCTAAAACTTAATTATAAAGGAGGAATAGAATGCGGATTATAACATAGTCCCTTAAAACTACATATGGTTATCAAGTGTTACCTGAACAAGCTCCACTTGTATCAAGGAAGTCTTTGCTGGATACTCTACTATAAGGATCCTGAACATTATATGTCACTGCGAGGCTCTGGATCGCAAGGGACACTTTTCATTTGTAAAAGCAAGGTTAGAACCGGAGGAACTATGCTCCCATCCTATCAAGGACCTGCACAAGTTAGTGCAGGGTACAAGGAGTAGGAGAGTGGGTATAGACATGTAGAATGTTTAGCAGGGGGCTTAATCACCGCGAGCTTAGAGACCTATTGTGTTCCCCTTTCATGAAATATAGCGGGTTATAACACATAACACAACATCATTCAGCCTCAATGCTTTGAGAAAAGCCATTATTTGAGACGGCTCCACAGAGGCCAGCTCTCCATCTTCGATATCAGCCGTACCAAAGTTTATGGCATGAACGGTTGTCGTCTCGGCGTACTCAGTGGTGTCTCCCCATTTGCTCCACAGAATATGTATTTGCCATTGTTTCTCAGCTTCAATCTACTGAGGTATTCGTTGAGGAGACAGTGTCCTGTGACACCCCGTAAAAATATTGAAAAAGATTGTTCTTATTTAAATCAAGGGAAATCTTTGATTTTTCTCGGTCGTAAGTCCTGAGGAACTTTTTCTAGTGTTTTATACAGTTGGAGGATTCCCATTCAGGTTATGGATGGAGTCCTCCAGGTTCTTTAATTCCGCTTTAAACTGGTTTCCGCTTTGAAAGCAGAACGGTTCTGGTCCAGTTTTTTTTTCACCGTCCTCTGCCGGAAACACTGCCACCTGTGAGGCCTATTTTGTTTATTCCCTTTCTATATCTGCACCCATTCTCCTATCCCTGTGCCCTGCACTAACTTATGCAGGTCCTTGATAGGATGGGAGCATAGTTCCTCCGGTTCTAGCCTAGCTTTCCCAAATAAAAAGTGTCGCTTGCGATCCAGAGCCTCGCAGTGACATACTATGTGCTCCGCTGTTTCAGGATCTTTATCGCAGAGTCTGCAGCAAATACTTCCTTGATACAAGTTGAGCTTGATCAGGTAACACTTGACAGCCATATGTCCTGTCAAGAGGTCTGTTGTAATCCGCAATTTATTCCTGCTAAGCATTAGCAGTTCTTTGCGGTTTTAGAGCTAGGTCCTTGGATAAAAGCCTTGCTGTGCCTGTACCCCTGTCTGTTTCTCCAGTGGACATTCTGCTTTTCCCTGATCCAGAGTTTTAGTGCACTACGGGCCATACATTTTGGTATTCCCAGTACTGGCTCTGGGCCAAGATAAGATGCCGATGATCCTTGCCTAGCTAGCCCATTGGCTTTTTCGTTGCCTTGGATGCCGCTGTGGCCCGGCACCCAGAATAATTTAATTCTGTTCCTTCGAGACAGAGTTTCCAGTTCACTTAGGCATTCCCAGACGAGTCTTCTGGTCCAGTTAGTGGAGTGTTCCTTTTCTCGCTAGATCGTTTGCTTTTTCATTGCTTTTCAAGCTTTTTCATTGACTTCTATCACCTAAAGTAGGAGAACTTTATTTTCTTTGCCTACATGCAAAGGGTGCAGACATAGAAAGGAGATTAACACAATATGCCTCACACGTCGCAGTGTTTTCGACCCAGGACGGCCCCCTATTATTAAAAAAAAGTGGTTAAGACCTTATTACTCTGTATACTATTAAACAACTATTTAAAATATCTAAATATAACTCTTTCAACGGCAGAATACCCAGATTCTTTAGAAAGAGATAATGAGCTAAAATCAAACCACTATCAGTGACTTTCTTTTAGAAATCCAATTAAACACTTCACTTTCCAGGTTCATATCGTTCATTCGTACGACCGCATCGTACCGTACGTGGGGCACAAAAGGCTGACGGTGGTCACGAGCCCGCCGAAGGTGTTCTCGACGCGGCCCAGCGTACTCCACCGGGAGTACGACTGGATCGAGAACAAGGTGCGACCCCGCGTCGGCTATTCCGCCACCAACCGCTACCTCAACTCCGATTCGGCTGTGGTAAGTACTAAAAAGGTGTGGGTGTGTAGGAGTTAGTATTCTGGTCGGTATTCTTGCTATACTAGAATTTCTAAGAAACATAACTTATGTCTGATGACATTTGCTTAGGACAGACTGCTGATTTTTGCTAGTCATGCGCAGACTCTTTAAGTTAGGTAACTGTCTCGACAGGTGTCACCACTGGTAACTGATTATCTTGAAATTCCAGCCAAGGCTCTTATTCTACAAATTGGTAAATAATTCTCCGGTAACAAATAGGTAATATTACTGTAAAGCTATATCGCACCATTTTTCGATGTGGTCAAAGGTTCCTTGAACATAACGCGCATGCCTTTTGCATTTCATACATTAGCATGAAGCAGAGGTTATGGAATAAATTAATATCAATAATAATATATACAGGGTGTCCCAGAAATAAGTGCAAGTATTTTAAGGGGTGGTAGATCTCGATAAAAGAAACATATTTTCTCTTTATCGTTTTTCAAATAAGTCCAAAATAACGTTACGAGTTATTTTACTTTGAAAATTTCGAAAAAAAAATATTTTTTGCTAAAATTTTGAGAACCACTGGATCTTTTCTGGATTTTCTTTCTTGTAAATTTAATCTAATACCTATGTTGCCATATTATCAAAAAATTATGTTTTTAACTATACACTAAAAAAAATTCCAAAAAATTTTCAAAAAATTTCGAATTTTCCAAATTTTTTTTTTTGCGAAAAACACCTCATAGGCGTGTTTCTAGGGTTCAAATATATTACCAGTTAAAATACTTGCACCTATTTCTATGACACCCTGTATATATCAATTATTTTTTTTGTAAAATTTGGCATTTTTCGAAAAAAAATGTATTTTTTTAAATTTTTAGTAAAAAAACATATCTTGATATTATGGCAACATAGGTAGTCGATTAAATTTCCAAAAAAGAAAATCCAGAAAAAAAAACAGTGGTTCTCGAAATATCAGCAAAAAATATTTTTTGCATAAATTTTTAAAGTAAAATAACTCAGATATTTTGGACTTATTTGAAAACGGTAAAGAGAAAATATGTTTCTTTTATCGAGATTGTACAAGTCCTGAAAATATTTGCACTTATTTAACATTCACCCTGTATATAAATACTCGTTTATTAATAAAGTTATTATAAAGAATTAAATCATTTTATCGAATTTAACTTTAGACGGCACCTTACTTAAACCCAAGAATATTTCCTTTACAAATGTCAAAACATTACCAGAAACAAAAAAATCCCTAAAGATTCATAAAATTTCAAGAATACTGAAATGACATCAATCATCTGAATTTGGCCTATTTTTAATTACCTGAATTCATTATTTTTTCACACGGCTGTTTACATGTCGATCAAAACAATCAAATTCGTATAAAATTAAAAAAAAAGAAAAAAATCCTGAATAAAAATGAAACAAATATGTTTAAACCAAAACAACAAAAACATGCCTGTCGAGACAGTTTCCTAAGTTGAAGCATATGCGTATATCATGTGCAAGTACATACACTCAAAAAATTCCATAATCCCAAAAATTATGATATCACTTAGTGTTTCTGCCTTCATCAATACGGGAGGAATCAGCAACGATGAACTAGTGATCCTGAAAAACGAAAAAAGGAAGCAAATGAAGCACGAGGTACCATTTGCAACTTGAGAAAACTGTTTATTGTTTTTTAACAAAAAAATTTGTCATATATATTTTTCGTACATTGCTAAATTTAAGTTAAATACACAGATAATATTATACTGTGTTATTTGTGTTAAATATGGTTAATTTCATTACAACACTTGAAAACTAAGCAACAAATAAACGAAACAACAATAAAGTTCTAGTATGACAAGATATCGAAAATCATCCTATATGTTTTAGCTTTTAACCTATTTTGCTTGACATTTTTATTCCTATTTTTGATTATTTTTTTATATATTTTAAGTTATCGTCATCATGCTTCTTCTCCTCCTCATCTGCGCTTCAGCCATTAACCATTTTATTTGTTATACTCCTTTTGATTTTACTATTAACCATATTATATGGTTGTATTAAATACAAATTAAGCTATACATAAAACTATAGTTTGGATATTATTACACACATTATTACACACACGGATTTTTATACCGATGCATATTTTTATGTACATATACCTAAAATACACTTATACCTACAAACAATATTGATTGGTATCTATACTACACTAATCCGCAGTTAACATATGTGGAAATTGTATATGATAGTTAGTAATTATTATTATTATGGGGTCAATAATGGTAAGTAAGAGATATTACTAAATATAAATATTATTTATACATAAATATTCGAAAATGATTGAATATAGATAGTCGTAAAATAATAGTTTTTTATTTGTTATTATACAGGGTAACTTTTCTACGATGTTCTAGTATCTCGGAAACTACTGTAGCTAGAGAGTCGGTTAAATGGGGAAAGAATTGCAGTTTTGTAAGATCAAATATATGCGCTTTTCACATTTTTGAAAAAGTTGATGGCTTACTAGATTTTTCGAAAAAAACAAATTTCGGCTGTTTTAAAAATGCTCCCAATTTCATGATAACCTATTTTGCAACAAAAGTTGCAGATAATCATATCCTTAATGCGATTGTTTCCTCCGTTTTTCCGAAGCCTGTTATTTTTGACATATAATAACATTATTTTTTTTAAATTGAAACTAGAGTTACCTCATAAAAAACGCTATTTTGAAGTTGTTCAAAAAGATAAGAATTGACTATATATAACTCAGTAATTTTTCGAAAAAAAAAACATATTATAGCTTATATTGCTGAAAAGCTTAAAAAATGGCGCTTTTTATGAAGTTATGGCCAACTATGGTTTTCATTTAAAAAACATATGATAGTGTCATATGTCAAAAATGACAGGATTTAGAAAAAAAAAGGAGAACACCATCTCATTAAAGATGTGATCATCTACAACTTTTATCTGGAACTCTTTTTAAAATAGCCAAAATTTGTTTTTTTTCGAAATATCTAGTAAGCCATAAACTTTTTCAAAAATCTGAAAAGTGCATATGTTTGTCCCCGCAAAACTACAGTTCTTTCCCCATTTAACCGACCGAATATCGTAGAAAACTCACCCTGTATATGGAAGGTTGTAGAGATACTATTAGAAGAAATTAACCAATTTTAAAAAAATTACAAAGCCTAATAAATTTTTAACTTAAACCTCAATGAGTAGAGGTAAAATTAACACTAATATTAACCTTTAGAAAATATTTTATCATCCTATATGAATTTCTGAAGAAAAAAAAAGAAATTAAGTAAATTTCGCGTGAATTTACGATAAGCATATTATACTAATATGCTCTAGTAAGTGTTTGTGGCGTCACATATATTAGGCACAGTGTACATGTTTATTTTTGAAATAACGTCAAACCACAAATAAGTTAAAGCATGGTTTAGCTAAACACTTTCGTAAATAACACACATATTATTTATTATAAATTATTATTAGTAATTTTACATACAATATGTCCCCGGATTGTCTTTGCAAAAATAAAAACTTTTTTATTATTAACATTTTGAGAAAAATGCATTCTTCATAAAAAAATTTTGCTTGTTCTGTAATGATTAATCCAGTTTATACTTTTCCATATTTCCATACCGTTTTAGAAAAAATTAAAAAAAAACTAAAAATATAATTGAATTTATTCATAAAGATCGAAGAAAGAGTCAAAGAAATTCCTAAAAATCAAAACGCGATTCTATGGTAATATAATTTCGATTTCATTTTTTGAAAGATTGTTATTGATAGAATATTAATTAGCGTCATTATTTTTTGCTATACAAAATGTTAAAGAAGAACAAAATTTATTTAGTTCATGAGTTTATTGGAAGATGTGGTACTTTACAACCACAACAATATGACATTAATCAAAATTAATAATAACCATCTATCAAAGAATGAAGTCGAAATTATATTACCTTAGAAAGGCCTTTTAATTGTTTGGACTTCAGAAGAGAAAAATTCAATTATATTTTCATGTTTTTTTTAATTTTCTCTAAAACGGTATGGAAAGTTGGAAAAGTATAAGCGGGATTAGCCATTTTATAACAAGCAAATTTTTTTATGAAGAATGCATGTTTTTCAAAATGTCAATAATAAAAAAGATTTTCCTTTTGTAAAAACAATCCGGTTACATACTGTATACTATAAAACTAGAATTTAACATTTCGTAAATATAGAATATTAATAGTCGAAGGGTAATCTTTTACATATTATTCATATATACGTTAAAATATTATATTGAAAATATAACAATGTAAATGCAGATCAAAGGAAACATTTAACGTTTTCGAGCACAGTTTACTATTAGAAAACTGTTTTAAGACTTTTGTTTAAAATCTGCACATTTGTTGTTTTCAAATATTAATCCTAAACCAACCTTTACCAGCGGCAGATTGTTTATAAAATATTGGTGAAATATTAAAAAATTAACTAGCGTGTACCCGCGACTTCGTTCTCGTCAATTACTCATTTGTAATGGTGATGATAAAGCAAAGCAAGAATTTTCATTAACATACAAATTGGATGAAATTTTCTCACATTTATGTCAGCATGAGAAAAAACCATATGGCGATATTATTATATAACTTGGTAATATTTGAGAGGTAGTTTCATCTTGTTGGAATTTGACTTTCAAAAAATCCGTTTGCCAAAAATAAGCTTTTTACGTCAACTTTTTGGAACACCCTGTATGATTTTTTAAAAGAAGTTTTAAAAGTTTTCAAGCAACCCCTCCTTATCGAACCTCTACACCCCACAGTCAATCCGTTCGCCAAAAATCAGCTTTAAAAGTCAAGCATTTTAAGCAGAATCGTGATTACTTAGTGGTCATATTTTATGAAACACCCTGTATAAATTTTTAAAAAATTTTAAAATACGTAAAACAACAAAATAAAATATACGTGTTTAAGAGTTTTTCCGAAAAACTCACCGGTTTTTAAATAAAAAATATTCTA